TGATGTATCAGTGACTGATGCATGCAGATCCCAGTAAGGTGGCCTTCTGCAGTTGGCAGATGGTAATTTTGTCAGCGCTGATTGTGTTTAAGTGCAGGCCAAGGTCTTTAGGAACTGCACACAGTGTGCCAATCACTGGGACCACCTTTATTGGCTTGTGCCAGAGTCTTTGCAATTCAATCTTTAAATCCTCATATCGTGTCATTTTTTCCAATTGTTTCTCCGCAATCTTGCTGTCACATTATTATTATTATTACTATTATTATTATTATTATTATAGAAGAAATATCCTTAAAAACAAGTTGTTCCATTCCAGCAAATGGGCGAATGGTTCACAGATCAGTTCTGTAGAAAAGCATATTTTAAACATGAAGATACCAATTCCTGATACTTCCAGGGCTGAGCTGCCACCTATTAAATATAGGAAGCAGAAGGCTAAATAGACTGATAGTCTTGTGTAATAGCCTTTTATTGAAGGGAATGTAGCAATGCAGATGTTTGTTGCAGCATCAATTACTACTGTCCATTTTAATTAGTAGCTATTGCTGCATTTTTACTGAGTATTTTGTTTAAATTGAGTTGGGTTTTTCCTACTTTTTTTGTAAATGTTGTCTTATGTCAATTGATATTGTTATTGTTACAAATATTGATGTATTTTATGTGTTTCATGGCTAGAATCATGGCTTTCAAGGCTTTCATGGCTGGAATCATTGGGTTGCTGTAGGTCTTTTGGGCTGTATGGCCATGTTCCGGAAGCATTCCCTCCTGATGTTTTGCCTGCATCTATGGCAGGCATCCTCAGAGGTTGTGAGGTCTGGAACATTGCCATACAGCCCAAAAAACTTGCAGCAACCCAGATTTATGGCACTATTATGTGCTGTTCTATAAGCCGCCCTGAGTCCCTTTTGGGGTATGCTGGTGGGATATAAATAAAGTTGTTGTTGTTGTTGTTATGAGCTTTAGTCAGTAAGGATATTGAGAAGTGCAGTCCAAGACAATCTGGAGGCCCCAAGTTGCCCTCCTCTGCACTATACATTTATATGAAATGTCCATCTAACACAGGCATGGGTAAACTTTGGCCTTCCAGGTGTTTTAGACTTCCAGCTGTTAGGAATTGTGGTAGTTAAAGTCCACATCTAACACGTTGAGAGAGTTACTTGTTTCAACCACCGAATTTCCCCGAATTCCTTGCCCACCATTGACTGAAAGATTCTAGGAGTTTTAGTTCAAATGATTTCTCCTCCCCAAATAGCTGCAGTCCACAACTTCCATCTCAGTGAAGTGTTGACACTGTGGGCTTTAGTCTAAATATGAAAGGAACTGTACCAATTCCCCTAAAGAGGTTCAGCACCTTGGAGAGCGAGCCAGAGTATTGTGGTGGTTTTGGTGTTGGACTAGGATTCTTGCCACCATGGAAACCTACTAAGTCATTTTGCCAAGTTCAGCTCTGTAAAGGACAAGAGTCCTGGCTTTCAAATACGAGACACCCTTTACAATAAGGGACAGATGGGTGTGTTATGAGTTTTCAAATCGACTTCAACTGAAGGCAATTCTATGATGGGTCTTCTGAGCAAGATGGATTCAAAGCAGAGTTGCCAATATCATCTTATTCTTGGGTGGACAGAGTGTGGATTGAGATCTAAATAGGGATTTGAAAACTGGAGAGCATCTGAGAACGAAGGTAGTTTGACACCACTTTAAGTTTAAGTTCATGGGAGTTGTAATTTAACACAATCTGTAGCCTTTCCTACCACATCAAACTACAAGTCCCACCATTCTACAGCCTTGGTGGTTAAAAGTGGTGTCAAAGTGTGTTGTGTCCAATTCTGGGCACTACAATTGAAGAGAGATATTGACAAGCTGGAATGTGTCCAGAGGAGGGTGACTAAAATGATCAAGGGTCTGGAGAACAAGCCCTATGAGGAGCGGCTTAAAGAGCTGGGCATGTTTAGCCTGGAGAAGAGAAGGCTGAGAGGAGACATGATAGCCATGTATAAATATGTGAGAGAAAGTCTTAGGGAGGAAGGAGCAAGCTTGTTTTCTGCTGCCCTGGAGACTAGGACGTGGAACAGTGGCTTCAAACTACAGGAAAGGAGATTCCACCTGAACATTAGGAAGAACTTACTGACTGTTGATCAGGCCCGTAGCCAGGATTTTGTTTCGGGGGGAGCTGAGTTTGATTCGGGGGGGGGGGCTGAGTCTGAGTGAAAGAGGGTCTACCCTAGCAAACCTTTTGTATGTTACCCCAATACCCCCATGCATATGGGATATATTGAGCATGGTGATCAGATCATGATATGAATAAACATAACTGTTTAAATAAAATACCAGTAAGGCCTTCTCATGGACCACCATGAGAATGGAGCCCCCGGTGGCTCAGTGGGTTATACTCCTGTGCCGGCAGGACTGAAGACCGACAGATCTCAGGTTCAAATCCGGGGAGAGGTGGATGAGCTCCCTCTATCAGCTCCAGCTCCTCATGCGGGGACATGAGAGAAGCCTCCCACAAGGATGATAAAACATCAAATCATCCGGGCGTCCCCTGGGCAACGTCCTTGCAGACGGCCAATTCTCTCACACCAGAAGCGACTTGCAGTTTCTCAGGTCGCTCCTGACACGACAAAAAAAACAGTACAACACTTGGCAGCTGAAGCCCCCCAACCCCCCCCCCCCCTCTAGCTACATGCCTAGTGAGAACTGTTCCGCAGTGGAACTCTCTGCCCTGGAGTGTGGCTGTGAAAGGAGATTCCATCTGAACATGAGGAAGAACTTCCTGACTGTGAGAGCTGTTCAGCAGTGGAACTCTCTGCCCCAGAGTGTGGTGGAGGCTCCTTCTTTGGAGGCTTTTAAACAGAGGCTGGATGGCCATCTGTTGGGGGTGCTTTGAATGCAATTTTCCTGCTTCTTGGCAGAGGGTTGGACTGGATGGCCCATAAGGTCTCTTCCAACTCTATGATTCTAAGTGCCATAGCTCATGGGAGTTCTAGTTTAACACAATGTGTGGCCTTTCCTGCCACATCAAACAAGTCCAACCATTCTACAGCCTTGAGCCATGGCAGTTAAAAGTGGTGTCAAAGTGTGTTGACTCTATAACAGGCAAACTTGTGCCCTCCAGGTATTAAGCGGCTGAGGGGGGAAAGGAAAGGGCCTGAGGCTGTTAGGAATGGTGGGAGTTGAAGTCCAAAACACCTGAAGGGCCCAAGTTTGCCCTTGCCTGTTCTACAATCTAGAAGGCAAAGATACAGAATGGGGGATGCCTGGCTCGAGAGCAGTATGTATGAAAAAGATCTTGGAGTCCTTGTGGACAACAAGTTAAACATGAGCCAACAATGTGATGTGGCGGCAAAAAAAGTCAATGGGATTTTGGCCTGCATCAATAGGAGCATAGTGTCTAGATCTAGGGAAGTCATGCTACCCCTCTATTCCGCTTTGGTTAGACCACACCTGGAATATTGTGTCCAATTCTAGGCACCACAATTCAGGAGAGATATTGACAAGCTGGAGTGTTTCCAGAGGAGAGCGACTAAAATGGTAAAAGGTCTGGAGAACAAGCCCTATGAGGAGCGGCATAAGGAGCTGGGCATGTTTAGCCTGAAGAAGAGAAGGCTGAGAGGAGAGGCTGAGAGAAGAGAAGGCTGAGAGAAGAGAAGGCTGAGAGGAGTAATGTTGATGTTTTGATAAGTTGTTTTTTCGATGATGATGAATTGTGGATTATTTTACACTATGTTTTGTAATTTGCACTTGTTTTTTCATGTTGTACACCGCAATGAGTCGCCCTTGGGCTGAGAATTGCGGTATATAAGCGCAGTAAATAAATAAATAAATAAATAAATAATAAATAAATATGCTGCCTCTGAGACTAGGACACGGAACAATGGCTTCAAACTACAAGAGAGGAGATTCCATCTGAACATGAGGAAGAACTTCCTGACTGTGAGAGCTGTTCAGCAGTGGAACTCTCTGCCCCGGAGTGTGGGTGGAGGCTCCTTCTTTGGAAGCTTTTAAACAGAGGCTGGATGGCCATCTGTCAGGGGTGATTTGAATGCAATATTCCTGCTTCTTGGCAGGGGGTTGGACTGGATGGCCCATGAGGTCTCTTCCAACTCTTTCATTCTATGATTCTATGATTCTAAGGCTGGGAAGAGTAAGGAAAATGCGCCCAGAGCAGTAGCTACTGGTGCGCCTCTCGCCTCCAGCTCTCAGCCAACAGCGACCCTTAGTGGCCACTCCAACCGGAACCCAAACCCAACCATGACAACATGCTTCACTCTCTCCGGAGAGCGATTTCGCAGGTTTCCCCCGCGGAGGTCACCGAGAAAGCATTAACCCTGCTCTTGCCGGAGGGAAAGAAAGGGCAGCAAGGGCAAGCCGGGGAAGGAGAGCGCCTCTAGTCTCTATACAGTGCGGAATGAACGGCGTTTGGCCCCACTCTGAGCAGCCACATGCTTTGGAATCGTGGGAGCCGTGGTTTGCTCAGGCGAGGGAAGTTTTCCTCTCGGGTCTCCTCGCGAGGAAGCTGGGGCTTGAGAGGAGGCGGAGGGAGGAAGAGAGGTAGGTCCTGTTCCCCTCGGAGATACTCTTTCCCCGGGTGTTTGGAAGGCTGGCAAAGAGGGGGTCGCTTTGCCCTGTTAGAGAGCGTCCTATCAGGACTCCTGTTAGGTTCTCCCACCTCGTACTTGGTCAATGGGTGGCCAGTCTCTGCAGCCAAAAAACCTCGTTCTGGGATTGCCTTCCGCTTAGAGTTGACTGGGAAGCGCCTAACACAACCTTCTGCTAGAGCTTCCACTATATGGTAAAGAGAGTCCCTTACTTGAGGGCCAGAGATAGACCTTGCCTCTCGTGGGCTTGGCATGCTTCCTCTGCCGTCCCGTGGGGTTGCCAATTGGACCTTCCGTGGGCTCGTTCTCCCTCCAGAGAAGCCCCACGGCGCGCCCTTTGCTCGACACCTCCTCCTCTTCTTCCTCCTCCTTCTCTTCTTCTTCTTCCTCCTCCAACTCCTCCTCCTCCAACTCCTCCTCCTCTCGTTGCGCGTGTATTTTTAGGTCACCGGAGCGGCGGGATAGGTAATCCCCGGGCTCAAGTTCCTAAAAGAGGCGTGTCTCTGGCCGGAGGTGGAGTCACACTTCTGTTGCTTTCTTTTTTTTCTCCTTTTGCGTTTAAATCCCCGACTATAAAATGGGCTTAAGGAGAAGCGGGATCTCATCGGCTCAGCCGACCGGAGCAAAGAGGAGGAGGAGGAAGAGAAGGAGATTTTTTTTCCACGCGTGTCTCTCTCTGCTGCTGCGGGTCCTCTCCTCCAAGTGGCGGCACTCTTCTTGCTACTACTGTCCCGCGCGGGATGTGAGCTATCCCCGCGTGGAATTTTTTGTTATTGTCACGCGTGGAATTTATTCTCCCCACGCGTGGATTCCTGATTTTCTCTCTCTCTCCACGGTCCCGCGTGGGGCGTGAGTTTTTTTTCCCGCGTGGACATTTCTTTATTGTCGCGCGTGGAAATTTCTTTTCCACGCGTGGAATTTTCTTTTCCTCCTCCACGCGTGGATTTTTCTCTTTTCTCGTTCCGAGCGGGGATGCTGCTCCCCCCGATGGGCTCGCAGCCCTTGCAAGCGCTGAGCCAGGCGGCGGCGTGCGTCCTGCTCCTGCCCCGCTTCCTCCTCACGGCCCTCATGCTGTGGCTCCTGGACTTCCTTTGCATCCGCAAGAAGCTGCTCCTGACGCCTCGAGAGGGCGAAGAGGAGGAGGAGGAAGAGGAGGGAGAGACAGGTGAGGCCTCGGAGGCGGCTTCTCTAAGGGGCTCTCCTTCTGCTCCTCCCGCGCCCGGCTCGTCGTGCTCCTCGGTGGACGACCCCCCGCTCTGCGTGTCGGACTCGAACCGCATGTTCACGCTGGAGTCGCTGAAGGCGGTGTGGCACGGGCAGAAGCTGGACTTCTTCAAGGCGGCGGCGGTGGGGGCGGCGGCGCCGGACCCGGAGGTGGTGCCCCTGGAGCGGGCCGAGGCGCCGGTGCGGCTGCTGGACTTCGCGCGGGGCCCGCGCCCGCTCATCCTCAACTTCGGCAGCTGCACCTGACCGCCCTTCATGGCGCGGCTGCGGGCCTTCCGCCGCCTGGCCGCGCGCTTCCTGGACGTGGCCGACTCGCTCCTGGTCTACATCGAGGAGGCGCACCCCTCCGACGGATGGGTCAGCTCCGACGCCGCCTACGCCATCCCCAAGCACCGCTGCCTCCAGGACCGGCTCCGCGCCGCACGGCTCATGCAGGCCGGCGCCCCCGGCTGCCCCTTGGCCGTCGACACCATGGACAACGCCTCCTCCGCCGCCTACGGGGCCTACTTCGAGCGCCTCTACATCGTCCAGGACCGCCGCGTGGTCTACCAGGGCGGGCGCGGGCCCGAGGGCTACAAGATCGCCGAGCTCCGCGCCTGGCTCGACCGCTACCGAAAGAGGCTCGCGCGGCCCAGCGCCACCACCACCGCCGGGCCCAGCACCGTCGTCGTCCAGGTGTAGAAGCCCACGCCACACCGCTCTCCACCCGCCCCTCCTCTTTCCAAAGGCAAGCTCAACCCCGAGAGACACCTGGGCGGGTCGAGCTCACCTGGGAGCCCATCCGGAGCCCTTCCACGGTCAGGTGTCAATGCAGAATGAACCTGGCAGGTAGGGCTCACCTGCGAGCCCCTCCGAAGCCCTTTCTCCCCTTTTTCCAACCTTTCTCCAGGTCCTCAATGCAGACTGGAACTGTAAATGCTCACCTGCGAGCCCATCCAGAGCCTTTCCACGTCCAGGTGTCAATGCAGACTGTACCTGGCGGGAGGGACTCACCTGCGAAGCCGTGCCTCTCTTTCTCGCCACTTGCTCTCCCCCTCCAGATTGTGTTTCCCTCTCCTTCCTCCCCGCTCCGTCCAATTTCCAAAGGTAGACTGTAAGGGGACGTCTCATCCGGAGGGATTTCTCCCCCATTCCTCCTTTTTCCAAGTCCCAAAGAGTCTACCTGGTGAGAGGGACTCAGATCAGAGTCAATAGCCCTGGACTCCCCTCTTCTCCAGTCCTTCTGTCCAGTTCCCCAGGTGTTAAAGCAGGCTGTATCTTGGGGAGGGTGGGAGGACAGACTCACCTGCAAGGGGAGGAGAGACTCCACCTGTGAGCTTTCCAAGTCCCAAAGACTTTACCTGGTGGGAGAGACTCAGATCAATAGCCCTGGATTCCCCTCTTCTCCACCCCTTCTGTCCAATTCCCCAGGTGTCAAATATGGAGGTATTTTAGGGACTGAGGGGCGAGAAGACTCACCTGCAAAGTCAGCACAGGGGGAGAGAGGCTCCACCTGCATAGTCAATCCAAGGTGATTTTTCTCCCTTTTCCAAGTCCCAAAGACACTCTCTGAGTGCAGGAGGGATCAGAATCAATGGCCCTGGAGGTTCTGCCCAATTCCCAAATGCCCAGGTATAAAAGCAGGCTGTATCTTGAGTGACTCTCTTTCCACTTGCTCTCCTGTCCATACTGTGTTTCCCTCTCCTTCCTCCTCACTCAGTCCACTTTCCAAAGTCCTGGGTAGACTGTATGTAAGGGGGTGAAAGGGAAGACTCACCTGAGAGGGCCATCCTAAGTGATTTCTCCACCTTTTCCAAGTCTCAAAGACTGTGCCTGGTGAGAGGGACACAGATCAGAATCAATGGCCCTGGATTCCCCTCTTTTCCACCTGTTCTGCCCAATCCCCAGGTGTTAAAGCAGGCTGTATATTGAGAAAGGAGAGGTGGAAGAAAACTCACCTGCAAGAACAGCACAGGGGAAGAGAGACTCACCTGTAGAGTCAATGCAGAGCATCCAGATCAATGGCTCTGGATTCCCCTCTTCTCCACTCCTTCTGATCAATTCCCCGGGTGTTAAAGCAGGCTATATCTTGAGGAAGGAGGGGGGAGAAGACTCACCTGTGAGATCAGGACAGGGGATGAGAGACTAACCTGAGGAGTCAATCCAGAGCATTAGAATCAATGGCCCTGGATTCCCCCCTATTCCATCCAATTCCCCAGGTGTAAAAGCAGGCTGTATCTTGAAGAAGGGGGGGGGAGGAGACTCACCTGTGAGATCAGGACAGGGGAGGAGAGACGCACCTGTAGAGTCATCCAGAACATCTGAATCAATGACCCCGGATTCCCCTCTTTTCCACCCCTTCTGCCCAGTTCCCCAGGTGTCAAAACAGGCTGTATCTTGAGGAAGGAGGCAGGGGAGAAGACTCACCTGCAAGGTCAGCACAGGGGAGGAGAGACTTGCCTGTAGAGTCAATCCTGAGCATAACAATCAGTGGCCCCGGGTTCCCCTCTTCTCCACCCCTTCTGCCCAATTTCCCAGGTGTAAAAGCAGGCTGTATCTTGAGGAAGTGGGGGGGGGGGAGACTCACCTGCAAGGTCAGCACAGGGGAGGAGAGACTCTACCTGTGATGCAATCCAGTATCTTGAGGAAGGAAGGGGGGAAGGGGGAGGTGAGACTCACCTGCAATTTCTCCCTTTTCCACTTGGTCCGTCCAATTCCCAAAGGTACTTGGGGGTGAAATGAGGGGGGAAACTCACCTGTGAGGTCCATTCCAGTGACTTCTTTGAATTCCTCTCCTTTCCAGCCATAGCCCAAGTCCCAAAGTCTCAGGTGTTGAAGGCAGACTGCCCTGGGGGGGGAGGGGATATGGGGGAAGGCTCAGCCTGCAAGGTCAATCTGGGGCAATTTCTATACCTCCTCACCCCTTTAATTTTCCAGCACACAGGGGTTAAAGCAGGCATGGGCAAACTTGGGCCTTCCAGGTGTTTTGGACTTCAACTCCCACCATTCCTAACAGCCTCAGGCCTCTTCTTTTTCCCCCTCAGCCGCTTAAGCAGCTGAGGGGGGAAAAAGAAGAGGCCTGAGGCTGTTAGGAATGGTGGGAGTTGAAGTCCAAAACACCTGGAAGGCCCAAGTTTGCCCATGCCTGGTATAAATGCCCCCTTTTGTCCCTGACTCCCCTCCACCAGCCCCATTCAATCTCCAAGTGGCCTCTGTGTGAGTTTTCATGCAAGACTGTTATTGTTATTTGACGCACTATTCTCGAATCACGTTGATTTGCCGAAGGTCTCTTATTAACATTCATTTCTACCTGTGCCGTTTGTGTATTTTTTTACAAAGAAGTCTTGTCTTTTTTTTCTTTTCTTAAAAAAAAAAGACTGAACTAAGTTGTGTGTGTGTGTGTGTACATGTGTGTGAATGGATGACTTCCAGAGGAAGCGTTTGCTCTTTTCGCAGACTTCAGTGGCTTTGCCCTTTGCTGGGATTTCTAGTGTTTCTGTGTGACGACCGGTTTTGAAATGGTAGATCCAATGCCAGGAAATCGAGTCTGATATTTTGAGATGCTAGACTTTGCAGTAAAGCAACCACAATAGGAAAGGAAAGTGCAAAAAGAATGTCTATATTTATGTGATCGCTTGAGTTGGTTTGTAAAAAAAAATTGTTATTTTCTCCTCTTTTTTTGTAAAAATAAGTCTGGTTTTTTATGAACTTTTTATAACATTATTAATAAAGAGAAATTGAATAAAAGAAGTGTCTCGTTTTGTTCGGCTACTGTTAAAATGTCCCGGTTTCTCCTCCTGCTTTCCCCCTTGGTCTTCATCTTGCTTCAATCACTGCACATTGAGCTGTTTGCACTCTGGCCCCTTCTACACTGCCATGTAATCCACATTATCTGCTTTGAACTGGATTATATGAGTCCACACTGCCATACAATCCTGTTCAAAGCAGATAATCTGGATTTTATATGGTACTGTAGAAGGGGCCTCTTGAATATTGTGAAGTGTGAAGAGGAGGGGGTGAATGAAACTTTGTTTCCCCAAGTAAGGGCAGAAAGCAAACTGCTGCAGTATCTCCAAGCTTATCTTCCTCCTCAATAACAATCTTTGCCAATTGAAGAGAGTGGTCAGCATTTTCTCTCTGCACCCTCTTCAAAAGTTTGCTGAAGTTTATACACCTAGAAGAAAGGAATCCAAATCCATACAATTCCTATTCAACATGCAGCCTGAGTTTACTTGTCTACTCAGAAGGAAGATCATTCATTTTAGTGGAACTTAGGATGCATCTACACCAGGTGTGGGCAAACCGAAGGTCTGTGGGACAGATGCAGCCCCCTGAACTCTTCTCAGGTTCTCCTATCTCACCATCCTATCCCTTTCTTCTCTCTTTCCTTCCTTCCTCCTTCCCTCCTTTCCAGCTTTTCATACTTCCTTCCTTCTTTCCTCCCTCCTTCACTCTTTCTCCTTCCTTCCTTCCTTCCTTCCTTCCTTCCTTCCTTCCTTCCTTCCTTCCTTCCTTCCTGCCTGCCTGCCTGCCTGCCTGCCTCCTTTTTCTTCCCTTCCTCTCCCCTCTTTCCTTTCTTCCACCCTTCCTTCCTTCTCTTCCTCCCTTTTTCCTTTCTTTCCTCCTCCTTCCCTCTCTCTTTCTCTCTCCTTCCTTTCCCTTTTTCTTTTCCTCTCTTTCCATTCCCTTCCACCCTTCTTTCCATCCTTCTCTTCCTCCCTTTCGTCCTTCCTTCCTTCTCTCTTTCCTCCTTCCTCCCTCCTTCCATCGCCTCCTTCTTTACCTCCCTCTTCCTCCTTCCTTCCCTTCCACCCTTTCATGCTTCCTTCCTTCCTTCTTTCCTCCCTCCTTCACTCTCTCTTTCTCCTTCCTTCCTTCTTCCTTCTCTCCTTTTTGTCTTTCTCCCTCCTCCCTCCTTTCCTTCCCTTCCTCCCTTCCTTCCTTTCCTCCTTCCCTCCTTCTTTCCTCCCTCCTTCACTCTCTCTTTCTCCTTCCTTCCTTCCTTCCCTCCTTTTTGTCTTTCCTCCCTCCCTTTCCTTTCCTTTCCTCCCCTTCCTTCCTTCCTTCCTTCCTTCCTTCCATCCTTCCTCTTCCTTTTTTTCTTCCCTTCCTTCCCTCCTTCTCCTCTCCCTTCCTTCCCCTTTTGTCTTTCCTTCCCCCCCCCCTCCTTCCCCTTCCTTTATCCTTCTTCCTCCCTTTTTACTTTCTTTTCTCTTTCTTTCCTTCCTTCCTCCCCTCCTTCTTTCTCCCTCTTCTCCTTCCTTCCTTCCACCCTTTCTCCCACCTTCCCCCCCCCTCTCCCCCACCCCCCCTCCCCACAAACCTAAACCACCCCCCTTTCAGCCTCCCTTCTTCCTCCTCCTTCCCCCTCTCTCTTTTCTGCTCTCTCCTTCCTTCCTTCCTTTCCTTCCTCCCTCCCTCCCTTTTTTTCTTTCCTCCCTCCCTCCATTCCTCCCATCCTTCCTTCTTGCCTTCTCTTCCTTTCTTTCATTCTTCCTTCTCTTTTTCCTTCCTCCAAGAGTGTCCCATTGAGGAGGAGGAGGGAGGGGGAAACTGATTTTCTGCTGCTCTAGAGACCAGGGCACAAGGGGTGCAATGGGTTCAAATGGCAGGGACAGAGATTCAGCTGAAAAGATTAGAAAGAACTTCCTGGAGAATGGCATAGGCCACCTGGGAGTGTGATGGAGCCTCCTTCTTTGGAGGCTTTTCCCCAGAGGCAGTCTACGGGGAGTGCTTTGATTGTGCCTTCCAGCATGGCAGGGGGTTGGACTGGATGGCCCTTGGGGG